AGCGATCTTTCGGTCTCTTGGGCATGATTGGTTTCTCCTTTTCCATTGTTACGAGGTAAGTGTTCTTCTGCGTATGCTGTGCATTCTCTAAATCCCAACACCGGTGATCGGCACCGGCGCTGCAACCTTGGAGCAGAAAAACGTGGCAAGATGGGACGCTTAACGCTTGCTAACGGCTTCGTGCAGTTGGAGTGCCCTCGGTGGTGTGCTTGTCACAGGTGTCAATGCTGGTGGTCCACCGGTAGTGAGTAACCTTTCACATTTCTCATTCAGATCTTACCATGCCTCCAAATCCAGGCTTAATTCTCCTATCTATGGGTCGATTTTGAGAATCTTAGTTGATTCTCGAGGATGTTCATACATTGCACTGCGCTGGTATTGCGACATAGCCCCAAACATGTTCCACGACGTCCGAGACATATGAAGTTGTCAAGAATGACAAAAGTTATCTGCTATACGACTCGAACTAACATTATTCGTTTATGCAGATGATTTGGGGCTGGGTAGGCATCAGTCTTGTTTCCCTCTGCGTCGTCTATTCCATGGCAGAAATGTGTTCTGAGTACCCCGTTGCCGGAGGTCAATACTCATGGGTCTATATTCTCTCGCCGAAATCGGTGAGGAGACAATTCTCCTATCTTACGGGATGGTTTATGATCATCGGTCAGTCATATTCTGTCTCGTCATATTAGCATCGAATCTCAGTTGTACCTGAGATGAAAAGTGATACCAAAGAACCATCTCATGACCTTCCATGAAACTTGACCCCATGTTCCCTGTTTTTCATAGCAACGATTATGACTGACGTTTTGTGGTACGCGTATAGGGATTCTTGCCATGGGCGCAACGAACAGTTTCATCGGCGCAAATTTTATCCTGGGCCAAGCGAACCTCGTTAATCCATCCTACGTAATTGAGCGGTGGCACACGGTTTTGGTAGCTTGGGCAGTGACTCTCATTGCAACATTCATCAATTTGTGGGGGTCGAAGATTCTTGACAAAGTATCTGCAGTTGCGCTTGTCTTCAATATCGCCTCGTTTATTGTGACGGTTGTCACTATCTTAGCATGCAACACCAATAAACAAAGTGCTAGTTTTGTCTTTCAAGACTTTCAAAACTTTACTGGTTTCGGGACGGCTATGGCTGGTATTATTGGAATATTACAGCCGGCATTCGGCATGTGTTGTTGTAAGTGTTTCTTACCATGCTGCCTTTATCATGGCTTTCTCTACTATCTCCGCCAATTGCCCGGCTTCATTTGATTCACCACCAGGCTAACACAAAATGCCCGACTAGATGATGCGCCATCCCACATGACCGAAGAGTTAAAAGATGCTTCCAAAGAAGCTCCTCGCGCGATGGTTCTCTCCGTCTACATTGGAGCCATCACAGGGTTCATCTTCTTGATCGCTGTTTGTTTCTGCGTTGGCGATATTGATGCTGTTGCTAACACATCGACGCTGGTTCCTCTAATTCAAATCTACGCCGATTCAACCAACAGTCACATCGCAGCATGTTTCCTAGCGTCCATGATCGTAGTCATCAACGTCGCATCTTCCAACGCACTGCTTGCGGAAGGAAGTAGAAGTCTTTACGCATTCGCTAGAGATCATGGACTTCCATTTTCGAGCCATATCAGTAAAGTGAGCGCCAAGCATCAAGTTCCCGTTGTGGCTATTATTATTGGGACTATAGTACAAATGGCATTTAACAGCATATATTTTGGCACAGTAACAGGGTTTAATACTGTAATCGCCATTGCGACAGAGGGATTTTATCTTTCATACGCTATGCCTCTTCTCGTGCGCATAATATCTCACATCAATGGATCGCATCGACAACTTACAGGTCCTTGGGCGATGAGACCAGTCGTCTCATTAATGGTTAATGGGATTGGTCTGGCGTATTTACTTTTCGCATGTATTACTTTTAATTTTCCATCGGTGTATCCGGTTACGAGCGAGAATATGAATTATACTTCAGCGGCTATAGGTGTGATTATGATGGTAGCGGCGGGGACCTGGGGAACGACTGCTCGAAAGAGGTTTTCGGGGCCAGAGATTGAGGTTGTAGACGTGGTGACGGGAGTGGAGAGGACGGATTCGGATGAGATGAGTAGACGAGAAAAGAGGGAGGAGAAGAAGAGTGGATGAGTGGAAGGAGGAGAGATACGGTGATGAAATTGATGGATGATCAGAAAGAGAAGATGATAGAAATGGACAAGTCAACTTGTGGCGGCGCACTTAGAATTTTCTGTATGCCTGATTCACGTAGACTATTTCATGAATACTATTGATGCCCAACAGTTAGACATCTGAGATCGCTCCTCGCGCCATCAACATTATTTGCATCATATTTTCGATTGATTTTGACCCGTGACCTTGTCACCGGGTACGTTGAAAATAGAAACCAATCTTACATTTCGAAACGTTAACGCGGTCAGATGTAATTCCATACATATTTTGATTGGAGGAAACAATTTAGAAGTGGGATATCGTGTCAATGCGAGGATTTGCCGGGTGAAGGCTGGGATTGAAATTGTAGGATCAAAGATCGGAAATTTCTTTGTGAGAAAAACAAATATTATCGACGCATCTTTGTGATATACCTACCTCGCGAGCCTAGGTAATTACGAGAAGTAGAGAGATGTAATTTTTGGAAGGGATTTTGAGGACTTTGATGCGGTCCTTGCCTCACCTTACATGCCCCTCATGACTCGACCCACGTGTGTGATCGAAATGATCAAAAATGGCCAACGGAAGTGCAAAGGGAAATGCAAACGCAGGGAAAAGAAATGAACATCAAACCAAACATGTATGCAACGTTCCGAAGAAGGATTTGCCTGGCTCGCACCTGGCTGTCAAATTACAATAGAACGCTTTGAAGCAATGCAATATGTGCAACCGCGGCATTCGTATATACTTCTACCCTTCATACCAAAACCTTCCCCTGCATTGTACTGAGAAAGGGTGCTCGACGTGATGAATCTCGGATGACCGTGAGCGACACCTCGCTTTCGTGTATCTGGGTAGGTATCTGGGTAGGTATCTGGGTAGGTATCTGGGTAGTCAAGCTTACTTGTACCCCGTATGGTAAAGTCAACAATCAGGTGTGCGAGATGCAAGGAATACCCGTACATGAATGACATGAATGATATTGTGCAGGAGTAGGAGAAGCTTTAACTGCGCGAGGAGCTAAAATTATCACGGGATATCGTGTTAACACGTCAATACATTGATGCTAGTAACGGACATTCCCACATTTATCGACTTAGTTGCATGAGCGTGATGACCAAGGGGGTTTGGTGAAAGGTACGGAGCGGAGGTACTAGATGGCAGGTAGACGGATCGATACCGGTTTGCTGGGGATGTAGATATCGATGATGATGAGCGTCCCAAAATATCCAAGATGATCGGAAAGGGAATGTGTAACTATTCCCAGCATCAACATAGAAGCTCTGTTGAGAACCGACGTCGATTATGTTTCGGATTGAAGAAGAAAGAAGGGAATGGGAAAGGGTGGACTGTGTGGAATGTGTGGAAGATGTACCAAGGAAGATGAATTTAAGACTCACCGTTCATGTGACTGCCAGTTGTTTAAAATGTGGCTGGTAATATTCAATGAATCTTATCCATGGATACCTACCTAGTAGGTATGGATGGCTCAAAAGCATGGTTGCTGGATCAGCAAAACATCACATTAACCACATTAACCACTTTCACCACTTTCACCACTTTCACCACTCAAACCATCCGAATATAATCTCTGCGAGCAGGGTTGTAAATTGTAATTCCCATTCTACCTAGCTATCCCTCTCACGCCAAACAAATAATGAGACTTTGACCAATGAAATGTCGTAGATTCTGCTCTTCTCGTGTCTGACTTCTCTCGTTCGCTCTCGGTAGTCTCAGGCCTCAAACCTCACGTCTCTCTCCCTCACTCCTGATTCTTTCTCGAACCTTTCTCTCTTTCAGGAGCTTTCCCGTCGTGCAGTCCAGCCCGACCAGCAGTTGCACTACACTTACAACATACATCGCACATCCTGGGACAACATCATCATCATCATCATCATCATCGACCATACGAGAAAAGTCTCTTTCTCTTCTTTCTCTTTTTTGTTTACTTTATCTCATTTTCAAATCTAAAATCTGCCGACGCAACATACCTTCTTTTTTTCTTTTTCCCGGGCGCCCAGAATTCAATCCAACATTGGCGACACACGAACGACAAACGATCGTCGACGACAAGAACAACCTCCAGCGCAACTTCTTCCATTTCACAAACTTTCACTTGCATTTTGGTCCCGACCTAAGGATTCCTCCTTGACCTTACATTCCACCCGCCAAAACCCTACTGTGCGATATCTACCTATGGATTGACCGTACTCGACATCAACATTCAACAATTCATAGGACTATCGATTATCAACTCCCGACCACCACTTGATATAGGAATATCCAACGAGAATACATAGATCGAGAACCAACGGATTTCCATTCTCAACTCAACAACCTCAGCAGTGCTACAACACACTTTTTCAAATATTACCACTACATTAATCATTGTTTCATATCATTTGACGGGAAGGATAAAGGCGATTCACGACTTCTAACGACCATTATTGTACACGAAATCCAATCTTTTAGTCTTCTTTACAACCTGCAGCCTTCACCATTTGTTTTGCGATCAACATCCAAATAACCCAACTTTGATTTATCGACCATCGACATCATAAGATCTTCATCTCAACCTTTGCACGGCTAAACAAGTTTTACATCATTGTGAGGGGTCTGCAAGAGGTCATTCTTTATTTGTTTATGGTCCACAACAACAATCGCAACAGCTGCATGTGCTATTGGTCACTAGTTTTGCAAGATCGCAAGTCTAAGGAACGGATGTTACCGCCAAGCAACAGAACGGCTTTAAGATAGTGAGAAGATACGACAACGATACGAAATTCAAGACCAGACAGAATCGACAAGAATAATAATAACCACAGATGTCGGAATTACCATCCTCCCCACCTTCGGATCCGGTAGATGCGATCGCATACTACAAATTGCAGTACGAGCAATTGGAGAATGAATTGACGGAATTCCAGGCGAGTTCGCAGGAGTTGGAAGCAGAGTTAGAGAAGGATGTCGAAGCTGCGGAAAGAAGGGAAAGGTTATTGCAGGAAAAGGTAGAGAGTTTGGGATTCGAAGTGGAAGAATGGAAGGTATGTCATCGTGAAGAGGTGCATGTGGTAGATCGGCAGAGTAGTTGGCTAACCAGAATTTATTTGTAGAAGAAATATAAACAATCCAAGAATGAAGCGAATGCCGCGCAGACTACTCTACAGAAGGAGATCACTTCTCTGCGCGATGCGAATCGAACCATGCAACTCCAACTTCGAGACATTGAAGTTCAACATGACGATATCGAGCGGCAAGCGCGAAATACCTTCTCATCCTTGGAAGATATGGAATCAAAATTTAATATGTCTATTGAACGAGGGGTGATGATGGAAGAAGAAATCAAGATTGGCGAAAAGGAAAGAGAACAACTCCGGATCGAGACACAACGTTTGAGAGATGAGTTGTCGGACCTGAAAGTTGAGGCAGATATCATGCAAGACAAGCTACGAAAACGACAATTTCCATCAATCACAACGGATTATACTGCGCCAAGTACTCCCTCGTTTGAGCCCTTTGGAACATCTCCTAGATCCACAGCTTCTTCTCCAATCATCAACACTCCACCAGATACCAAATCTATCTCAACGACAGATACCATTTCCGAAACCCCTACCCCTCCATCTCCGCCCATGTCAGAAGCATCGGCGACTGCAAGACACGGACTGACCACATCGATGAACCCACCCCAAAGCAATCTAAAACTACCAGCTGCGAATGCAAGCTCGACGTCTAAACAAGGCCTATCTCGTTACGTGTCTGGCACAGTTCGTAGTTCACGAGGCACCACACCGAACGGCAATTCGAAAGCAAGAAGTGCGACACCAGCGGTGATTCGCCAGACAAGACAAAAAGCACCACCTACACGCGGTTTGCCGAACTCAACCTCCCTAAGTCATATCAGAAGTTTGACGGCGCAAATGCAAAGATTAGAACAAAGAGTGCAGTCTGCGAGATCAAAACTACCCGCGCCGGTCACTACTCCACCTCATACTATACCGAGAACAATATCAGCTATGGGTCAAAATTACTTGCCACCAAGTGGTACAATAAGAGGTAGGAAGAGAACTACGGGTAGTACTGCAAGCGCGAGCACTACATCATCTATGACTGGAGATGAACCTTCAGTAAAGCACCTCCCTCGAGTCTCTGTATCCGGAATCAGCAGGCTTTCTTTTGGACCAGTTGCAAATAGAGATGGGAACGATAGCAGTCAACATAGTAGTAGACCACCCAGTCGACCAGGTAGTCGTGCCAGTGGATCACTCTATGAACGCCCACCAAGTCGATCGACTCTCAGTCGCCCAGGCGCTAAGACGCCAGTATCATCTTACGCACAGTCGCAAATTGTGGATTCGAGAAGGGCGAAGAGTAGTATGGGTGGAAACTACGGGGATAGGCACGGAGATGGAAGACCTCATACGCACTCACAGAGCGTCTCATATATTGGCTACGGCGTGGACGAGAATCGGGAATCTACCTACACGACACCAGTTCGTAGGGGAACTGTGCATGAGAGTTCGGGTGGCACACCACTATCTTCACTTCCTCGAAGGAAAAGCGGTGGACAATCATTATCGATGTCGGGCCTACCTATGCCTAGGAGAACAAGCACAAGTCAAGGATTTCGTGAGGAGGATGAAAGGATGATTATTAATCCTAGACAACCAGCGGGACTCAATAGAACTCCCACGGCACCAACAGGAAGACAAAGGAAATTGAGTGGAGTAGGAGAATGTTATTAAGCTCACTAGATGAGAAGGGTGAATGTATTTCATCCTCTTCACTTCATCTGTATACCGTTATGGAGAATCCGGGAATTTGGGATCATATTTGGAAGGACGTGGGAGAAGGGTGTAAACTTGGGTTGCGTGCATTGGCTAAGGCGTTTGTTTGTTTTTCTCAACATCGTGCGTGCATAGCTAGGCGGACATGGTATGGGAAACAGTTTGGGATTGATACTGCTGCTATACCTCTTTTTTATTGATTTGCTCTGCTCCTCTTGGCTCGTTCCTTTTTGTATTCTGGGAGGAGAGAGTTTTTCGTTTCATTTGTACATAGGGGATGGATGGTTGATGATGGGTTTGGGGTTTCGTTTGTTGGTGAGATGGTGTGCGGGAGAGATTGGAATGGATTGGTAAGGTGATATGGATGCAGAAAGAGCATGGATGGATGGATGGATGGATGAATGGATAGATGAGATGGAATGGAATGGAATGGAATGTGATAGGATGGATGGATGGCTGGAAGTGAGCGCTACAGACACAGACAGACTATAAGAATGAAGGAAATGATTATGATTCAATTGGGTGTTTTTTTTTTTTTTTTTTTTTTTTTTTTTTTTTTTTTTTGATATGTGATGTGATGATATGAGTGAGAGATCTTGATGATCAAAAAGTAGCTATAAAATAAGATGAATGCACTAGCTACGGTAGGGTAGTAATAGTAGATGGATGATATGTAAGGAATACCCTTCTCGGGAAAACTACCTAACTACCTACTTGTCTTGGTAGCTACCATACCTAGGTAGGTAGGTAGTAGGTACCTACGGGGGGTAAATACTAGGCAGGCCGGGGGCAGGTATAAGCTTAGGTATTTCTTACGCCCGAATATTTTTCGGCTTTTGTGGTTTGGTTTGTCGGTTTGTCGGTTTGTTGGTTTGTTTGTTGGTTTGTTTGTCGGTCTGTTTGTCGGTCTGTTTATCGGTCTGTTTGTCGGTCTACCTGTTATGTATATAGATATATTCCTTCTTTTTATATTATATTGTATTATGTTATGTTATGGTTGATTGATTGGTTGGTTGGTTATACGTTTGAGTTTGATTGAGTATATGCTCTCCTCTCCCTTATTTTATTGGTGATGGTCATGGTGATGGTGTTGCTAGGGTTGGAAATGGAAATGAAGCTGGGAGGTGGTAGGAGAGTGAGGAGAGCGAGGAGAGTGAGGAGAGTGAGGAGAGTGAGGAGAGTGAGGAGAGTGAGGAGAGTGAGGAGAGTGAGGAGAGTGAGGAGAGTGAGGAGAGTGAGGAGAGTGAGGAGAGTGAGGAGAGTGAGGAGAGTGAGGAGAGTGAGGAGAGTGGGGTTTACTCAGTTTTCCTATTTGTTTGTTTGTTTGGATAGATGGTTAGGGATGGATGGGATGGGATACACTGACTGGATGGGATGGGATTGGACTGAACTGAACTAAACTGGATGAACTGGACTGTTTGGGAGGGGGCTGAATGAGATTAGGTACGTTGAGTAGATAGCTTGGTGGTTGTTGAAGGATAGGTAGATAGATAGATAGATAGATAGATATTCCATTAGATAAATAAATAACTTATCTGGCTCTATCTAGCTACTAACTAGCTGGATAGATAGATATATTGAGTGCGTGGGTGTGTAGCAAGTAGTAGGTAGTAAAAGTAGTAAGTAGCAAGTAGTAAGTAATAAATAGAGTAGATGAATGTGAGTGTAAATGTGAGTGTGAATGTGAGTGTGAATGTGAGTGTGAATGTGAGTGTGAATGTGAGTGTGAATGTGAGTGTGAATGTGGAGGTGATGAAGAAATTGAGAAGGAGATGAGATGTGGTAGAGAGGGATTTGTATCTTGTAGTTCTGTGGGTGGTGTGATGTGATGTGATGTGATGTGATGGAGATTGGTGGGTGGATGGGTAGGTAGAAGAGAAGGGGAGGGGGGTAGGGAATTAAGTATGGATGGGATTTATATATATATATATAGCTTGTGATAATTGTTATTTGGATGATGAGAGATTGAGAGATTGGCTGATGAGAGATTGAGAGATTGATTTGAGTGAGAGTGGTTATGAAGGGGCTATCTATGGGGAAGGAAAAAGAAAGATGTTTTCAGATTATATCGCCGACGTGTTTGGACTCTAGAGTGATGATTTGATTGGAGGAGGAGAGAGATTTTTTGATGGGAAGTTGATAGATAATAGGTATCGCCGATGTAGGTAGGTTTTTTTCCTTGTAAGACGGACGACTGTTTGGGGGGCTAGAGAGAGGTGTGGAAATATTGATGGATGGATGGATGATGAATGGAATGGATGGAATGGGATTGGATGGGGGGTGGATATCTACAGTAGTAGTACCTACCTAGGTAGCGAGCGACGGGGTGTAGCTACAGTAGCTACCGGTATCACTTTGCACGTAGGGAGCAGGGAGGTAGAGAGTGTTGGTAGTGGTAGTAAAGAGGTTATTCTTCTTCTTCTTCTTCTTCTTCTTCTTCTTCTTCTTCTTCTTCTTCTTCTTCTTCTTCTTCTACTTTGGGTGAGTGAGTATATGGAATGAATAATGTAATGAATATCTAGGTAGTGCGATAAATGGATGGATGTGTGAATAGGTATTTTATCCACCCCGATATGTAAACTCCGGTTCAGGATTGGTATTGCTGTAGCTGGGATAAGTTCGAGCTGGAGTTGGGAGGATGTGGGTTTAGGGGTCTTTTTTCTTTGATTCTGAGGGGTAATGAATGGGAAGGGAAGGGAAGGGAAGGGGAAAAGAGGTGATGATGATGATGATGATGATGATGATTGTGGATTGTTGTCTTGTTTATTGTTGAGCGAGCATTGAGTACATGTTGGAGAGAAGATTATCTAGCATCTATTATGTTATACGAGTCAATTATCTGGCAGTCTGCAGTCTAGCGAGGAAAGGTGTACACGAGAAACGAGAGAAAGGAGGGAGCTCGGAGGAGGTGAGGAGGTACCTAGCCTAGTAGCTAGCTCATCGGATGTCCGTGGGGAATCGGGGGAGAAATAAGAAATAAGAAATATCTGGTATCTAATCTACGTACCTAGTAATTCAGCCTCACGTAGGTTACCTAGAAATTAGAGAAGCGGACTTGTGAGATACGGGCGCACTCGAATTGTAGAAATTATCTAGTATAGGTACAGCGAAGGGTTCGAATGGAAAGAAAGATAGATATGATTTGATGGCTGCTTATGGGCTAGAATATATACGATGCAATATACATGGACGAGTGAGTTTCTGTATTGATGTTTCGGAGTCTTTGACGTACATGCACATTTGGTGATGGGTTGGGTTAGCTGGGTGATGACTATTTTGTTTACTGATGTTCTGGAATTATTGTCGTAGTGGTATGAGTAGATGCAGATATTTAGATTTTGGGTTGATATTGAATTGGATTGGATTGAATTGGATTGAAGGGAAGTGAATGATGGATGATGATGAATGATATTTTGGGTTGGAGCTACGCTACCTATCCACCCGAGCCACCTAAGCTGTCAAGCGAGACAAAGCACTCGGAGGGATGATTACCTTAGGTATATTTGCTTGGAAGATTCGGATTGAACTTTTGATGGCTTTTGGATGGGAAGAGCAAGGGTCATGATGATATAATGTTTTGTTGGCCGTGAACTATCTCCGAAAGGGAATCATCGAGCGCAGCGAGCTACGGGGGTTTGGGGGCTGGCCCCCATCCATCAATACCGAGTCAATGATGATCTAGGAAAAGGATCAACGACGGGTTCCATATTTTGGGAAAGCTGAGAGTTAGTCGTGTGTATGTGTGTGTGCTGCTGGAAAGTACTTCGTACAGAGAGAATATACGACGTAGAAGTCCGGTGCTAGGAAAGCTGGATAGGTTCTCTTGGTATATATGTGTATGTATGTATGTATGTACTTTGTAGGTAGATATGTATGTAGTTTGAAACTGCATCCCTAGACTAGCTGGAGATATCTGCATTCTGGTGTTGTGAGAGGAACGAGTAAGAGACGACATCACCATTACATTACATTACATTGCATTACATTGCATCATGTACGGAATGGAGGATTTTGACTTTCATGACTCTCTCTCCCTCTCGATGTCTTTTGTCTTTTGCATGTACATATGTACTTTGTAAGATTTTACCTTGGATTGGTACAGCAAGCAAACCAAAGGTTCTACGGGATTCTTCATCCCTTTGGAATTTTGACCCCTGTTATTTAGTTAGCTTTATTAGGTATGTACCAGTATGTACGAGTATTTGGGTATGTATTTGGGCATGTACTTGTATGTACTTGTATGTACTTGTATGTACTTGTATGTACTTGTATGTACTTGTATGTACTTGTATGTACTATGTAGGTAGTCTCAAGGTAGTGTGGTGGTGTTGGAATTGATCGACCGGGTAATATTCATTCCAGAAGCATGGCCACGACCCCTAGCCTCTCTAACCAGCCTTAGAGGGAAGAAAGTTTAATGAAGTTGTCACTCTCGATGATTGTTGATTTTTGGTGAATTTGAAAAATGGAGATTAGATTAAATCAATGGGAGATGATTTTTTGATTTTGGATTGATGGTGAGTGTTGATGTGTTGATTATCTATATTTATTAGATGTGTCTTTATATGTTACAATGTCGTGGTGATATATTATAATATTGTCGTCTGTTGATGTAAAAGAGTATACTCTGTTTTTATTTAATATTGATATTGAATATTCCCATATAATTCTCACACTCTCAGCCAGATCTATCGACGGACTTCCTTCTCAAAGACTTGTTAAGCAAGTAAAGTGACTTATTAGCTACCTAGTCTCTCCGCAAGTGGTATACACCTTACCCTACCTTACCCTACCTTACCCAATCTCCCCTACCTACCCTACCGACCTAGTATGCAAGTGGCTGAGTGGGTCTCTTCAAAACGCCAGAACTCACCAAATTCGTGGTCGTTGGGAGACGCGCTTTACTCGCTTGGGTTTAGTGGGGTCAAGTGAGGGATGGTTGAGAGGTTTGAGAAATT